TGAAATTACATAAACACCTGTTTCCCTTTACAAAAAATATAAACTCTTATGCTGTACAGTTTCTTTCTTATACAAATCTAATGATGCCACAACAGGTCATGATATAGTTTAATGGCTGAATAACATTATGCAGAGGAAACAGGACAGAAAAATAACAGGAAAAAATAAGTTTAGTCCTTAAAAAGACTGATAAGATTATTTTCTTTTAAAATGTATGCAATCCTGATTAATGGATATACTGAACCTCACGGACGCAATGTTTTTGAAATATTTTCAAGTTCACTGTCATTCCTGTTCTAAACTTTTTTTAGGGTTTTACTTTAGCACACAGGTGGAAGGAACTGGAGGATTTACACATTTTGGTGGGGTTTGTGGGTCTAATTGGTCCCTGTTTCTCAGTCTTTTGCCAGCAATGACACAAGTCCTTTTTTATCCAGCTCAATGAGTTTAAGGTGCTGTAAGGTCTTCAATGCAGAATCACTAACTTTCATGTTCAGCTTCTTCATCCTCTGAGTGCTTATTGGCCCCCTGAAGATACAAGAATGAAAATATTTAGATCAAATGTATTCGTAAACACTTTTCTTTGTAGAAGTAAAACCATGTAGTTGACTGAAGTTACAGTGCATTATCAATCATGTTAGGACTCGGGGTTAAAGGTGAGGTTTTTGCATAAATATGACCAGACAAACCTGTTCTTATCTGAGAAGTACTCGGATAACTGCTTATAGAGCGTGTTGAGGTCATTCAGCTTCAAGTTACCACGTACACTCTGCGGGACAGTCTCAAATGTCCCCTCAGGCACCTCTTCACGCACATTCTGTGCTACAAGGGAGGGGGGGAAAAAACGATATAATTGTTGATATTGAAAGATGCTGATGACCTTTGAAATTGTGCCAATGTTACAACTGCCTTATGTTGATAGTTTTCTTTTGTCCTTACATTCAGACTGTGCTTGAGTTTGAGGTTCTTCTGTCAGCACGGCCTAAAGAAACAAACACATTCACTAACTCAAAGTAGCTTTTTCCTCAAAACGTCACAAATAAATTACATTTTAACAGGTACATGCACTGCAGTTTAAAAATTAGGGTCAGTAATTTTTTTGTTAAAGTATTTTATTTAATATTTTGTTATAGATATTTATTTTATAGTTATAGTAATTTTGTTATTTGTTAAAGTAATTTATTGAACAAGGATGCATTAAATTGATCAAAAGTGACAGTCGAGACATTTATAATATTAGAAAGTATTTCCATGTTTTAAAAAATGCTGTTCTTTTGAACTATTCAAAGAATTCTGAAAAAAAAGTATCATGGTTTCCACAAAAATATTTAGCAGAATAAATTTTCAAAATTGATAAACAAATCAGCATATTAGAACGAGTTCTGAAGGGTCATGTGACACTGAAGACTGGAGTAATGCTGCTGAAAATTCAGGAATAAATTAAGATTTCATAATTTATTAAATTAGAAAACAGTTATTTTAAATTGTAATAATATTTATGTTGTATTTGAACAAATAAATAAGCCCTTGGTATGCAGACGAAACTTAAAAAATGTAATTTAAAATCTTACCAACCCCAAACTTTTAAAGGAACACTCCACTATTTTTGAAAACAGGCTCATTTTCCAACTCCCCTAGAGTTAAACAGTTGAGTTTTACCGTTTTCTAATCCATTCAGCCGATCTCCGGGTCTGGCGGTAGCACTTTTAAATGTAGCTTAGCATAGATCATTGAATCCGATTAGACCGTTAGCATCTCGCTCAAAAATGAAGTCAAGAAATTTGCTGCCGTACCATGGGTGCAGCAGGCGCAATGATATTACGCAGCGCCTGAAAATAGGCTTACTGGAAGTTACCTAGCTGGGGACTATTTTCAGGCGCTGCGTAATATCATTGCGCCTGCTGCACCTATGGTACGGCAGCAAAGTTTCTTGATTATTACGCCGGAATGAGAATAGGGGAGTTGGAAAATGAGCCTATTTTCAAAAATATTGGAGCGTTCCTTTAAACCTTAAATTCATTTCATGGGGAAAAAAAAGTTAGTTTCAAAAAGCACTGAATAAAAGGGTGCCGTTAATTGTGTCCAATGTGTATTAGAGAAAAACATTTGTCATAATGATATTTCCCCCCATTTTAAATTCTTATTCTCCAATGAAAGGTTAGATTTATGTGAATGTTTTAAATAAAAGATCAAAATGATTAACAATGCAGATTTATTTTCACAGGCTTCTTTGATCATATTTACCAAGGGTGCCAATAATTCTGACCACGACTGTATATATTAAATATATATTTAAATACATAGTTTAAAATAAAAATTAAAACACTAAAAGTAAAATACTAAAACTTTAATAGTGGACAATACAAAAATTAAATGTATCAAATTATTAAAAAAGTTATAATAGCATATCAATCATACTAAAATAACACTAATGTCGATTTAAACAAACACCTAGAAGAAAACGTCTCAGGTTAACCATGGTTCCTCGAGGGAACGAGACGTTGCGTCGGAGAACACTTTGGGAACACGTTCTGTGACCACGCTCTGAATCACATGTGTCCTCTGTCCAATGGAAGGGCGCGACGTCACGGGCGGGTGACGTCATCAACCAGGAAAGCTTAAAAGCACATGCAGCGGAGCCGGCGTCAGCGTCTAGGAATGAAGCAAGCGCTGGCAGAGATGCCGGAAGTATGGCACTGAGATGCAGCATCTCGTTCCCTCGAGGAACCATGGTTACATACGTAACCTGAGACGTTCCTCTTCAGGAACTCGAGCTGCGTCTGATAACGCTTTAGGAATGAGAATACCCATGCCGCCAGACTTACAAATCTCTGCCTAGTGTGGAAGCCTGCACAGCTAGGGCGAGAGAACAGAAGAGCCAGGAGTGGCTCGCATATCTAGACCATAGAATCTGACGAAGGTAACGAAGGTAGAGTGAGCCTTGACCCCTAGCGGCGAGGGGAGATCAGAGGACTCATAAGAGATAGAGATGGCATCCACTATCCACTGACTGAGGGTCTGTTTTGTAGCTGGAAGACCTCTCTTAGGGGGACCGTAGCAAATAAGCAGTTGGTCCACCCTCCTCCACAGGGCAGCTCTGTGGATGTATGCATCCAGTGCTCACACTGGACACATACAATTAAGCTTCTGCTGGTCTGGCTCCCTGAAGGGAGGAGGACTGAAGGCCTGGAGTACGATAGGCTGTGGTGCAGATGAGGGGACTTTAGGGACATACCCCATTCGAGGGTACAGAAACGCTTTGGCCAGACCGGGCGCAAAGTCAAGATAGGAAGGGGCCACTGAGAGGGCCTGCAAATCCCCAACTCTTAGAGATGATATCTCCAGAAGAAAGGTAGTCTTTATAGTAAGGTGGAGATCAGAGATCTCCTCAATTGGCTCAATCGTGACAAACCAGTCCTCGGACCTGATTTGAGACACGACTTGTTTGAGTGTGAGCATCCTGAACTTCAGTCGCATGACTGAGCGGTTCAACTGCGTCAACTGACGCAGATCTAAAATAGGACGCAACCCCCCATCCTTCTTCGGAACAATGAAGTACCGGCTGTAGAACCTCTCTTCCCCAGAAGGGCCTGCCCTCACCAGTCCTGAACCCCAATAGTCAGGATTTTTTGGTCAAGGACCTCTTAGCCTGAAGAATGGTCCGCAAATCCGGCTTAGGCTTAGAAGTCCCCGACCCAGACGCGGGGAAGCACGGGCGGCAATGCTCTGTTTCTGAGCCTCCCTGTATGAGGAGCTGGTACGGGGAGGGGACTGCTCCCGCCCAGCAACCCCCAGAGCTGAGACGCGGCGAGGGAGGAACCGCTGAAACTCCACCGCCTGTTTACGGGCCTCCTGGTACATGTCAACGACGGAATTGACGGCGTCGCCGAACAGGCCAGATGGCGCAAGCGGGGCATCGAGGAGGAAGACCCTGTCTTTCTCTTTCATGTCTGACAGGATCAACCAAAAATGCCTCTCTGCTGCCACCATAGTTGCCATGGACCGCCCAATGTCATGGGCGGTCTCCTTGGTGGCGCGGAGAGAGAGAGCAGCGGTTCTTCTTATCTCTGCGATGTTATCAGAGTTAAGCTCCTCGCCCTCGTCTAGCTCTTTAAGCAGGTCTGCCTGGTACGCCTGTAACACAGACATTGTGTGCAGACACGCACCGGCCTGACCTGTTGCTGCGTACCCCTTGCCCACCAGCGCTGATGTTGTAAGCAGCAGCTTGGAGGGCAGTGCCAGAGCCTTTAAGGACAATGCCACGCCTGGGGACAGATAGCTTGCCAGCGTCTGTTCAACCCGGGGCATCGCCCTATAGCCACGCTCACTCAACCCTGCCACATTTCCATAATAATCTGAGGCAGGGATGAAGAGACGGGCCGAGAAAAGCTTGGCCCACGACCTCGACACCTCAGTGTGAAGGTCGGGGAAAAATGGCAGGCTCCAACATGGAGGTGGTGGCCTCGCCCGCAGGAAGCGTTCATCTAACTTGCCTCGGTGTAGCTCGGCCAATCGATTTTTAACTTGGCCACGGCGCGAGTAAGCACCTCCACTAGCTCCTCATACTGGGGCGATTGAGGGGGCAAACCTCTTCGACGCCTCCACGTCAACTTCCTCGGAGGACGACAGGCGGAGCGTCGAGCCCTCACCCCGGGAGGAAGTAGCCGCAGAACGGGCTTCCGAAACCCAGAGATCGGGCTCTGGATCTGGCGGGTGAGGAAGGAGATAGGGACTCGCCCGTCTCCATTCCCTCCACCAGATTCAACTGCGAACCCCACGAATGCAGCCGCCGCTCTGCCTCGACGGAAGCAAGACCAGCACCGCGAAGAATGCTGGCGAAGGCTCCCTCTTCAAAGAAAGCCCTCCGGGAGCGAAGCATACGCAGTGGGAGAAGCTCGCAATGCGGGCAGCCGGTCCCCTCGAGAGCAGACTCTGCGTGCTCCGCTCCCAAGCAAACCACGCACAGACTATAACGCGGCTTGCTCTCACCCTTAGAGTGCTTTGTCTTAGTGTGAGCTATTGACATAGTGGAGCTTATTAGTTTTATTTTGGACAAACAACAATAAATAAGACTCACAAACACAGAGTTTTGAACTGACACACACAGAGCACTTTGCTGAATGACAAAAAGCTGACGCCGGCTCCGCCGCACATGCTTTTAAGCTTCCTGGTCGATGACGTCACCCGCCTGTGATGTTGCGCCCTTCCATTGGATGGATTACACATGTGATTCAGAGCGTGGTCACAGAAGGCGTTCCCAAAGCGTTCTCCGACGCAGGAACGACCTGTTTTACAACAAAGCAGAAGTAATTCTATACTTACGGCTCACTGATGATCCTCATTACATTCAGTCCGTCAAGAAAACGACCCGTTATGCAACAAAGCAAAAGTAATGGTGCTTACGGCTCATTGATGATCCTCATGACGATCAGTCCGGCGATGGTTCCTGCATCTTTGGTGGCCTGGCGCTGGGCATCATTGAAATAAGCGGGCACAGTGACCACAGCATGTGTGACCTTTAGAAGAGCAGAAACCGATCAGATGTTGAGTTTTACGGCAGTGCAATAGAGATTACATGTTTTCTTGGTGTTGGTGTCAAAACTTTACCTTCTCTTCCAGGTAAGCCTCTGCAGTTTCCTTCATTTTTGTCAGAACCATGGCAGAGATTTCCTCAGGGGTGAAAGTCTTCATCTGACCTGATCCGACAATCACTGCAAAACCATTTCACTTGCACTCAAAATCAAACGGTGTTCTCAGATCACACACACACACATACACACACACACACATGAGTCAATAAAGAAAACACTACAGAGCATGCATTAGACACTACAGAGATAAATGGAGAACACAGCATCCAGAACATTACAGAAAAAAAGTATATTGTATTGAGTGAACAAGTTTGCAATTCTATAAAAAAGTATAGTAATTGCAACTGAGTAAGGTGAATATATTGTATAGGCCTACTGTATGTACTGTGTAGCGTCTGGACCACTCAAACACACAATACATATTTTGTTAGCTAGATTGAACAAATACTCTGTAACACCCCAGGAAGCTGAACAGGCCCCTGGTTCTATAGCAATGTCGACACCCGATACATTTGCGACCTCCTGGAATTTAGGTGAAGAAGGTCGCTTCCTTGCAAAGGGTTGTAAACCCTCCAGCAATTGCCACCTCCCGCTCGGAATATCCATCTTTCTCATTTGACAAGCCCATCATGAAAGGCGGGGATCTTCTCCGACCTAAAAGGCCCTGCTCCAGGGACCCTCCCAAAATATTCATAATTAATTATAACTAGTTATGGTTAATTATTCATATTTCCCATGAGCTGATTCGTTACATTAGTGTCCCCATTGAAGACAAAGAGACGTTTAGTTCAAATACAGTTCAAACACAGGCTGGCAGACGCGTTTACCTTAAAGGGAAAATATTTAATGTCCTGCTGCACGGACGAGTCACCCCATGTGCGGCCAATCAACCTCTTGGCGTCAAAGACTGTGTTCTCAGGATTGGAGGTCAGCTGGTTCTTCGCAGCGTCTCCGATGAGTCGCTCACCTTCAGTGGTGAAGGCCACGTATGACGGAGTGATGCGGTTTCCCTGGTCATTGGCAATGATCTCGACACGGCCGTTCTTGAACACTCCAACACTGGAACAAAATAAAATAGTATTTAAAAATAAAATACAAACTTATAGGTTAATTATAAATAACAGAGGTAATGAAGGTAAAATGGTTAGATAAAATAGTCGATATATTTTAGAAACAGGTTCAGTTAAACTACCATTTCCACTGATCACTGGTCGACCAGGAAGGTTCTCTAAATTCTTACGGATTTTAGGGAGCATATAGAAGAAAGCCAAACAAGGATTTTTATTCAATAAAAAATGAAATTCATTTTTTGGAAATCCAACCGTTATACCATCCTTGTTGCAACTTGTTGTTCTAGTTCTAACTTAAGTAGGGTCAGATATAAGCCTTTGATAAAACTCTCTATCCTCCAATTGTCTATTAGCCTCTTATATCTATTTCCCCCTAAATCACAATTGCACCTCCTTTGTCAGCTCTTTTAAAATGATCTATCAATAAAACATATCTGCACAAAAACTCGACACATCAAGTGAATATAAGCCTACATATCTTCAGCTGGTGAGAGCATGGAAATAAATACATACTAGATATGTCTGACATTGCCTCTCATGTTCATAATGTGTTCAGTATTATTTTTCTATAAACATATTGTACTAATTTTGACTTGGGCACTTTCGAAAATGTATTGTAAAATATTTATATGAAACATATGTTTGTTAATCTTGGGTATTAACGTGATCTGAAGATAAATAACAATAATAACAGATTGTCCTAATTTAACATTTTGAATTTAACTAAAATTTAGATTGTGTGCAAACAAATTACAATGAGGTGGCTGTTTTGCAACAAGGTGCGGTTCTGTTCATAACAGTAGACCTGCTGGTAAAGAAGTGACAGGTAGGCTACATGAAAAATAGCCCAAAAAAAGTACACACACACACTCACTCTCAGACACACTCACACAGGTGCATCTCAATAAATTAGAATGTCGTGGAAAAGTTCATTTCAGTAATTCAACTCAAATTGTGAAACTTGTGTATTAAATAAATTCAATTGCCCTACACCAACCCTACCCCTAAACCTACCCCTCACAGGAGACTTTGTGCTATTTCAGATTTTCAATACACTCCATTCTGTGTGATTTATAAGCGTTTTGAAAAGTGGGGACATGGGGTAATGTCCTGAAAAGTCACCTTCTCCTTGTAATACCCATGTTATACCTTTGTCATTATACAAATGTCCTCAATTTGTCACAAAAACGCGCGTGCACACACACACACACTCTCTCTCAGACACACACACACTCTCTCGGACACACGCACATGCACTCACACTCACATATACACACACACACATACACACTCTCAGACACAAACACACACACACACTCATACTCACACACAAGTGAGAAAACGAGATATCAAGGAAAATGAAGAAACGGAAAAGGGAAGTGAATGTGCCATTCAAGAGAGAACCTTTAATTATTTTGCACAGCCAGAGCCTAAGAATTAAAAAAAAAATTTATGTGATGGCCTTACAAATAATAGGGTTGTCTGTGGTTTCAAAATGTGTTGTGGGTGTATAGCAGGGGTGTTCAAACTCAGTCCTGAGTTTAGCTCCAACCCCAATTAAACACACCTGAACCAGCTAATCAAGATCAGGGATACTAGAAACTTCCAGGCAGGTGTGTTGAGCCAAGTTGGAGCTAAACTCTACAGGACACTGGTCCTCCAGGACCGAGTTTGGAGACCCCTGGTGTATAGGATGGCCTGGATGAGTGTGAGATTTCCCCGCCTGAAGTGGAGTCCCAGTCCGGGCCTGCAGGGACTAGATCTTTCAGCAAATGACACTTCATGAACTTGTTCCAACACTTGTCCTTTTTCTGTTTATTATGTACGCTACTAACCATTTTTAAAAAAGCAATTCAGCCTTGAGGCCATGAAATACTGAGAATATGCTCTGTGCGCGATGTGTTACATTCACTATATACAGTAGCACAACCCAAGGTTTAACTGCCTCAGTTGTCATTCCATTAACCCTCCTGTTGTGTTGGGTCAATTTGACCCACACTCGATTTGCAAACTGATCGAAATACTGGTTAAACCATTTATTTGTTCTTGAAATTTTGTGCATATTTCTCATTAAGGGTCATGAAGGTGCATGCAAAGTTTCACCATATAGGCTACATTTGTTTTGGAAAAGCTGTAAAAAATGTGTTAAATCTCTTGTGTTGGGGTCGAATTGACCCCTAATAGCTTTGAGAACCAGACATAGCAAAAAGGCACAGTACAAATAGCAATAAATACTTACACCAAGTACAAAACAAACTTGTAGTTATTTGCACGTCAGTGTGGAAAATCACTACAAGTAGTCATGACCAAAAATTTTGAACAAAAATACTTCGGTCAAATTGACCCCTAACACAATAGAAATAACAATAAAAACAGACGGGAATTATTATATTTCTCACATATTTCATAGTTTTTAATCTCTGACAGGCTACAATACAGTTTTTAAGTTTTTCCTTGAATCTTTAGTATTTTTCGAATTTACTGTCGATTTTTGTCAACTTGCATGGAAACAACCAATGTGGGTCAGTTTAAACAGGAGGGTTGACCTAATCATCTTTAAAAATTTAAATCAAAGAATAAAGCACTCATCTCATAGAACTAGTTAACAAACACTGTAGAGCACAATTTTCTATTTATTGACTTAATGTGCAACAATACAGTCACAATCATTTCAACAAAACAACAATAAAAACATCAGTGCTGTGGTTTAGTATGAAACAGAAATGTTAGCTGTATATGTAGAGAATTCAATCAATCTATTTTTTGGAGTCAGAACAGCTGAATATCTTGCAGTGCAGATAGGCGAGTTTCTCGGCATACGAGCGTCGCAGCAAGGGAAACCATTCCCAATGGGGCAACTCCACGACTCTGTACCCAGCCAGCGCAAGTTGTCTCCTCTTCAGTGCATGTAATCCAAGCAACTGCTCAGTCCTGTAGCAATAGTGATTCCTATGTGTCACTTGAACAGCAAGTCTCTGAATAGATGGTTTAGAATCGTCCAGGCGAGACGAATGCTTTTGGGATTTGGTCAACGCCATCAGAAGATTGTCTGTCAAGTCAATACCCACATTGAAAATACTTTCTCTCTCTCGGACCGGTTCAACTGTGTGAACCTCTGGCTTTTGGAGGAACTTGTTGGACTGCTGCACTGGAGTCTTTCGTGTATTAGTTAGTTGAGCTAGTAGGTCGTCAGTTATGGTAACTCCAGAGAGCCTTGCATCCAAGTTTTGAGAGGCAAGATTTTGTTGCCCCGGTCTGGAGGATACAGGAATAGGTAGATCATTTTGGTCTAAGTGCACTTCCAGATCAATTGAGCGCAAATATGGAAGTATCATGTGTTTGCGCACAAACATCTCTCCACCCAGAAGTTTCCGCAACACATCTTCGGCCTCAAGCACCTCAGGCTTCTGGCAGATATCTGATTGAGCGAAATCCCACAGCTGTTTGGTCACTTCTTCCCGAATTGCGTGACTAAGTCTTGGGACCTTCGACTTGGGTAACTCCAAGCCAACAGTTCCGTCTAAGGTGAATAAGTCTTTCCTCAACTCAAGCTCCTGGGAATTACAAGCCCTGTTGACGAACTCTGCGGATAAAGCCAGACTGAGCAGGTCTTCAGGGAACAGACCGACAAAAGCCAGACCGAGCAGAGCTGTCAACAGATGTTCAGGGTATCGCTGAAACTCGGCTTGGCGGTCTTGTAAGATCGCAGTGAGACACGGATAAAGGTTGGGACATTGGTTGGGAATTTAATGTTCTTCTGAACACTACAAGAAAAAAAAATCTGGCTGAATTATTATTATGCAACCTGTCTATGAAAGCTGCAGCAAATATGAAACAGAACAGAAACGCATTCCATTATGATGCCTTTAGATGTGCGATTCTATAATTGGAGATACATTTGGCACTGCAGAAAGTTAAGAAAAAAACTTTTAACTTACAGATTATTATTGAAAACATTTAATTTTAATAATTCAGCGCTTGCCAAACACAAGTTACTTCCTTTTTCTGTCAATTATGTGGTGTTAAATCACTAATTTC